TATTAGTGCTGAACACTGTACCTTTAATTTAAATGCCCTTGGAGTCTGCTGGGGAGAGAAATAATACTGTCAGGCAGTATGACATGCAGATGAGTGCCGTCGATCTTAGAATCACCGCACACTTCACTCATTTGGCCAGTCACGGGGCCAAAACCAGAGTGTGGAGCCACAGTGTGGCGGTGGAGGCAGCAGCAATGGGAGGCCATACAGCACCCTATGACAAAAATGGAAACCACCAGCAGTGTGAGGAGACCTGAAAGTGGCACATGGCAGAGTGTGGCGATAGAGACAGCAGCAATGGGAGGCCGTACAGGGACCCATGACACACTCTGGACCTGGCAGCAGCATGAGGAGGCGGTACAGGGGCCCATGGCAGATTACGGGCCTGGCAGCAGCATGAGGAGTCGGTACGGGGGCCCATGGCAGATTACAGGCCTGGCAGCAGCAATGGGAGGCCGTACAGGGACCCATGACACAATCTGGACCTGGCAGCAGCATGGGGAGGCGGTACAGGGGCCCATGACAGATTACGGGCCTGGCAGCAGCATTTGGAGTCGGTACGGGGGCCCATGACACACTCTGGACCTGGCAGCAGCATGAGGAGGCGGTACAGGGGCGCATGACAGATTACGAGCCTGGCAGCAGCAACTTGGACAGGAGGACGTTCAGTTTCTGCACCGTCTGGTGCGTGCTCGCAAACTGTTGTCTCTTGGAAACGGATTCCAAGAAAGACTGCTGACGGAATCCGTGAAGAGGAGTAGCAGGAGAAGGAGCATCTGAACGAGCGGAATATGCCAACAAGCGACAACAGGGGCCCATGACAGATTACGGGCCTGGCAGCAGCATGAGGAGTCGGTACGGGGGGGGCCCATGGCAGATTAGGGGCCTGGCAGCAGCTATGGGAGGCCCGTAATCTGCCAGCACCCTATGACAAAAAATGGAACCCACCAGCAGTGTGAGGAGACCTGAAAGTGGCACATGGCAGAGTGTGGCGATGGAGACAGCAGCAATGGGAGGCCGTACAGGGACCCATGACACAGACTCTGGACCTGGCAGCAGCATGAGGAGGCGGTATATAGGGGCCCATGGCAGATTAGGGGCCTGGCAGCAGCTATGGGAGGCCCGTAATCTGCCAGCACCCTATGACAAAAAATTCTACAATACACCAGCAGTGTGAGGAGACCTGAAAGTGGCACATGGCAGAGTGTGGCGATGGAGACAGCAGCAATGGGAGGCCGTACAGGGACCCATGAGAGACTCTGGACTTGGCAGCAGCATGAGGAGGCGGTATAGGGGCCCATGGCAGATTAGGGGCCTGGCAGCAGCTATGGGAGGCCCGTAATCTGCCAGCACCCTATGACAAAAAATGGAACACACCAGCAGTGTGAGGAGACCTGAAAGTGGCACATGTTTGGGGCATGATTCATGGCGGATTTAGTCAGTTGTGTCAGGAACTGGTGGTTTGAAATCCAGACTAATCCACGCCTGATTCATTTTCACAAACGTCAGTCTCTCCACACTTTGGGTGGACAGTCGTGTCCTCCGCGGAGTTGCAATACCTCCTGCCGCACTAAACACGCGCTCCGATGCCACGCTACTGGCCGGGCATGACAGCCTTTCAAGGGCAAATTCAGCTAGTTGGGGCCAAAGGTCAAGTTTCGTTGCCCAGTAGTCAAGGGGATTGTCTACCTCGGTTGGCAGGGTGCTGTCCAAGTAGGCCTAAGCCTGTTGTTTGAGGTCCTGCTCCAGGTCCACCTGATGCTGCTGCTGCTGCTGCTGCTGCTGCTGGGCTGGTTAGTAGTTTCCTCACTGCGCTGGTGAAGAAAGCTACTCATCATCGACTGCAGACTGAGGCAGCCGCTGCTGGTGGAGCTGCCACTGCTCCTACCACCCCACCCCTCCCCTGCTGCCATGGCAGCGGAACGCGAGCGCACACAGGGCCCACAGTGTCTGAGGATGGACGTTGGCGCAGACAGGCAGAGACCAGCTGACTACATAGGTGGTTTTTATAGTACGTTATTTTGGCCTCCCTCTCAGCAGGTGTGTGAAAAAGGCCACCATTTTTGAACGGTAGCGAGGGTCCAACAAGGTGGACAGCCAAAAGTCATCCCTCTGTCTGATGGTTATTATTCGGCTGTCGCTACGCAAGCAACCGAGCATGCTATGGGCCATTTGTGCCAAGGAATGCGAGGGACTCCCTGCCTCCATCTCCACAGCATACTGCCACGGTGCGTCTGGGTCCTCTGTCTCCTCCTCCTCCTCCTCCTCTACCAGATGCTCCTGCTCCTCCACTCCTGTCCGCTGAGTGGAAAAAACCACCCATTTCACTCAATAATTCCTGAGCACCAATGTCCTCCTCTACCTCCTCCTCTTCTTCCTGTCCTGCCCCCACAGGGGTCATGTGGCGTTGAGATCTGTGCGCCACGTCTACCGCACCCTGACCAGCCATTGTTAACAGCATTTGTTCCAGGACGTGCAACAGAGGAATGACGTCGTTCATCCCATAGTCCTGCCGACTCACGAATAGCGTGGCCTCCTCAAAGGGCCTGAGCAAGCGCAGGTGTCACGCATGAGCTGCCAATGGCTGACATCTAAGTTACACAGGGAATACCTTTATCCGCTTTTAACATCAGGAAATCTGTGATGGCCTTTTGCTGTTCGTAAAGGCGGTCTAACATATGTAGGGTTGAATTCCACCTTGTTGCAACGTCACAGCATGAGGAGTCGGTATAGGGGGCCATGGCAGATTAGGGGCCTGGCAGCAGCTATGGGAGGCCCGTAATCTGCCAGCACCCTATGTCAAAAAATTCAACACACCAGCAGTGTGTGAGGAGACCTGAAAGTGGCACATGGCAGAGTGTGGCGATGGAGACAGCAGCAATGGGAGGCCGGCCGTACAGGGACCCATGACAGACTCTGGACCTGGCAGCAGCATGAGGAGGCGGTATATAGGGGCCTATGGCAGATTAGGGGCCTGGCAGCAGCTATGGGAGGCCCATAATCTGCCAGCACCCTATTCAAAAAATTCTACACACCAGCAGTGTGAGGAGACCTGAAAGTGGCACATGGCAGAGTGTGGCGATGGAGACAGCAGCAATGGGAGGCCTGGGAGGCAGTACAGGGACCCATGAGAGACTCTGGACCTGGCAGCAGCATGAGGGAGGGTATATAGGGGCCTATGGCAGATTAGGGGCCTGGCAGCAGCTATGGGAGGCCCGTAATCTGCCAGCACCCTATGTCAAAAAATTCACACACCAGCAGTGTGTGAGGAGACCCTGAAAGTGGCACATGGCAGAGTGTGGCGATGGAGACAGCAGCAATGGGAGGCCGTACAGGGACCCATGACAGACTCTGGACCTGGCAGCAGCATGCAGGAGGCGGTATATAGGGGGCCTATGGCAGATTAGGGGCCTGGCAGCAGCTATGGGGCAGATTAGGGGCCCAGCAGCTATGGGAGGCCCGTAATGCCAGCACCCTATGTCAAAAAAATTCTTCACACACAGCAGTGTGTGAGGAGACCTGAAAGTGGCACATGGCAGAGTGTGGCGATGGAGACAGCAGCAATGGGAGGCCGTACAGGGACCCATGACAGACTCTCTGGACCTGGCAGCAGCATGAGGAGGCGGTATATAGGGGCCTATGGCAGATTAGGGGCCTGGCAGCAGCTATGGGAGGCCCGTATCTGCCAGCACCCTATGTCAAAAAATTCTACACACCAGCAGTGTGTGAGGAGACCTGAAAGTGGCACATGGCAGAGTGTGGGCGATGGAGACAGCAGCAATGGGAGGCCGTACAGGGACCCATGACAGACTCTGGACCTGGCAGCAGCATGAGGAGGAGGCGGTATATAGGGGCCTATGGCAGATTAGGGGCCTGGCAGCAGCTATGGGAGGCCCATAATCTGCCAGCACCCTATGTCAAAAAATTCTACACACACAGCAGTGTGTGAGGAGACCTGAAAGTGGCACATGTGAGACACCTGGACCTGGCAGTGGCAGTGTGTGGCATGGGGCCCATGGCAGGGGCAGCAGCATGGGAGGGCAGCACCCTATGGAAAGTGGCACATGGCAGAGTGTGGCGATGGAGACAGCAGCAATGGGAGGCGACAGGGACCCATGACAGACTCTGGACCTGGGCAGCAGCATGAGGAGGCGGTATATAGGGGCCTATGGCAGATTAGGGGCCTGGCAGCAGCTATATGGGAGGCCCGTAATCTGCCAGCACCCTATGTCAAAAAATTCTACACACCAGCAGTGTGTGAGGAGACCTGAAAGTGGCACATGGCAGAGTGTGGCGATGGAGACAGCAGCAATGGGAGGCCGTACAGGGACCCATGACAGACTCTGGACCTGGCAGCAGCAGAGGAGGCGGTATATAGGGGCCTATGGCAGATTAGGGGCCTGGCAGCAGCTATGGGAGGCCCATAAATCTGCCAGCACCCTATGTCAAAAAATTCTACACACCAGCAGTGTGTGAGGAGACCTGAAAGTGGCACATGGCAGAGTGTGGGATGGAGACAGCAGCAATGGGAGGCCGTACAGGGACCCATGACAGACTCTGGACCTGGCAGCAGCAGCATGAGGGAGGCGGTATATAGGGGCCTATGGCAGATTAGGGGCCTGGCAGCAGCTATGGGAGGCCCATAATCTGCCAGCACCCTATGTCAAAAAATTCTACACACCAGCAGTGTGTGAGGAGACCTGAAAGTGGCACATGGCAGAGTGTGGCGATGGAGGACAGCAGCAAGGGCAATGGGGCCGTACAGGGACCCATGACAGACTCTGGACCTGGCAGCAGCATGAGGAGGCGGTATATAGGGGCCTATGGCAGATTAGGGGCCTGGCAGCAGCTATGGGAGGCCCATAATCTGCCAGCACCCTATGTCAAAAAATTCTACACACCAGCAGTGTGTGAGGAGACCTGAAAGTGGCACATGGCAGAGTGTGGCGATGGAGACAGCAGCAATGGGAGGCCGTACAGGGACCCATGACAGACTCTGGACCTGGCAGCAGCATGAGGAGGCGGCGGGAGGCGGTATATAGGGGCCTATGGCAGATTAGGGGCCTGGCAGCAGCTATGGGAGGCCCGTAATCTGCCAGCACCCTATGTCAAAAAATTCTACACACCAGCAGTGTGTGAGGAGACCTGAAAGTGGCACATGGCAGAGTGTGGGATGGGAGACAGCAGCAATGGGAGGCCGTACAGGGACCCATGACAGACTCTGGACCTGGCAGGCATGAGGAGGCGGTATATAGGGGCCCTATGGCAGATTAGGGGCCTGGCAGCAGCTATGGGAGGCCCCATAATCTGCCAGCACCCTATGTCAAAAAATTCTACACACCAGCAGTGTGTGAGAGACCTGAAAGTGGCACATGGCAGAGTGTGGCGATGGAGACAGCAGCAATGGGAGGCCGTACAGGGACCCATGACAGACTCTGGACCTGGCAGCAGCATGAGGAGGCGGGCGGTATATAGGGGGCCTATGGGGCAGATTAGGGGCCTGGCAGCAGCTATGGGAGGCCCGTAATCTGCCAGCACCCTATGTCAAAAAAAAAAATCTACACACCAGCAGTGTGTGAGGAGACCTGAAAGTGGCACATGGCAGAGTGTGGCGATGGAGACAGCAGCAATGGGAGGCCGTACAGGGACCCATGAGAGACTCTGGACCTGGCAGCAGCATGAGGAGGCGGTATATATAGGGGCCCTATGGCAGATTAGGGGCCTGGCAGCAGCTATGGGAGGCCCATAATCTGCCAGCACCCTATGTCAAAAAATTCTACACACCAGCAGTGTGTGAGGAGAGAGACCTGAAAGTGGCACACATGGCAGAGTGTGGCGATGGAGACAGCAGCAATGGGAGGCCGTACAGGGACCCATGAGAGACTCTGGACCTGGCAGCAGCATGAGGAGGCGGTATATAGGGGCCTATGGCAGATTAGGGGCCTGGCAGCAGCTATGGGAGGCCCATAATCTGCCAGCACCCTATGTCAAAAAATTCTACACACCAGCAGTGTGTGAGGAGACCTGAAAGTGGCACATGGCAGAGTGTGGCGATGGAGACAGCAGCAATGGGAGGCCGTACAGGGACCCATGACAGACTCTGGACCTGGCAGCAGCATGAGGAGGAGGAGCGGTATATAGGGGCCTATGGCAGATTAGGGGCCTTAGGGGCCTGGCAGCAGCTATGGGAGGCCCATAATCTGCCAGCACCCTATGTCAAAAAATTCTACACACCAGCAGTGTGTGAGGAGACCTGAAAGTGGCACATGGCAGAGTGTGGCGATGGAGACAGCAGCAATGGGAGGCCGTACAGGGACCCATGACAGACTCTGGACCTGGCAGCAGCATGAGGAGGCGGTATATAGGGGCCTATGGCAGATTAGGGGCCTGGCAGCAGCTATGGGAGGCCCCTAATCTGCCAGCACCCTATGTCAAAAAATTCTACACACCAGCAGTGTGTGTGAGGAGACCTGAAAGTGGCACATGGATGGCAGAGTGTGGCGAGGAGACAGCAGCAATGGGAGGGGAGGCCGTACAGGGACCCATGACAGACTCTGGACCAGCATGGGGCAGCAGCATGAGGAGGCAGGTATATATAGGGGCCCTATGGCAGATTAGGGGCCTGGCAGCAGCTATGGGAGGCCCATAATCTGCCAGCACCCTAGTCAAAAAATTCTACACACCAGCAGTGTGTGAGGAGACCTGAAAGTGGCACATGGCAGAGTGTGGCGGCAGATTAGATGGAGAGGCCCTACAGCAGCAATGGGAGGCCGTACAGGGACCCATGACAGACTCTGGACCTGGCAGCAGCATGAGGAGGGTATATAGGGGCCTATGGCAGATTAGGGGCCTGGCAGCAGCTATGGGAGGCCCATAAATCTGCCAGCACCCTATGTCAAAAAATTCTACACACCAGCAGTGTGTGAGGAGACCTGAAAGTGGCACATGGCAGAGTGTGGCGATGGAGACAGCAGCAAATGGGAGGCCGTACAGGGACCCATGACAGACTCTGGACCTGGCAGCAGCATGAGGAGGCGGTATATAGGGGCCTATGGCAGATTAGGGGCCTGGCAGCAGCTATGGGAGGCCCATAATCTGCCAGCACCCTATGTCAAAAAATTCTACACACCAGCAGTGTGAGGAGACCTGAAAGTGGCACATGGCAGAGTGTGGCGATGGAGACAGCAGCAATGGGAGGCCGTACAGGGACCCATGACAGACTCTGGACCTGGCAGCAGCATGAGGAGGCGGTATATAGGGGCCCTATGGCAGATTAGGGGCCTGGCAGCAGCTATGGGAGGCCCATAATCTGCCAGCACCCTATGTCAAAAAATTCTACACACCAGCAGTGTGTGAGGAGACCTGAAAGTGGCACATGGCAGAGTGTGGGCGATGGAGACAGCAGCAATGGGAGGCCGTACAGGGACCCATGACAGACTCTGGACCTGGCAGCAGCATGAGGAGGCGGGAGGCGGTATAGGGGCCTATGGCAGATTAGGGGCCTGGCAGCTATGGGAGGCCCCAATCTGCCAGCACCCTATGTCAAAAAATTCTACACACCAGCAGTGTGTGAGGAGACCTGAAAGTGGCACATGGGAGTGTGGCGATGGAGACAGCAGCAATGGGAGGCCGTACAGGGACCCATGACAGACTCTGGACCTGGCAGCAGCATGAGGAGGAGGCGGTATATAGGGGCCTATGGCAGATTAGGGGCCTGGCAGCAGCTATGGGAGGCCCATAATCTGCCAGCACCCTATGTCAAAAAATTCTACACACCAGCAGTGTGTGAGGAGACCTGAAAGTGGCACATGGCAGAGTGTGGCGATGGAGACAGCAGCAATGGGAGGCCGTACAGGGACCCATGACAGACTCTGGACCTGGCAGCAGCATGAGGAGGCGGGCGGTATATAGGGGCCTATGGCAGATTAGGGGCCTGGCAGCAGCTATGGGAGGCCCATAATCTGCCAGCACCCTATGTCAAAAAATTCTACACACCAGCAGTGTGTGAGGAGACCTGAAAGTGGCACATGGCAGAGTGTGGCGATGGAGACAGCAGCAAGGAGGCCGTACAGGGACCCATGACAGACTCTGGACCTGGCAGCAGCATGAGGAGGCGGTATATAGGGGGCCTATGGCAGATTAGGGGCCTGGCAGCAGCTATGGGAGGCCCATAATCTGCCAGCACCCTATGTCAAAAAATTCTACACACCAGCAGTGTGTGAGGAGACCTGAAAGTGGCACATGGCAGAGTGTGGCGATGGAGACAGCAGCAATGGGAGGCCGTACAGGGACCCATGACAGACTCTGGACCTGGCAGCAGCATGAGGAGGGCAGCAGCTATATAGGGGCCCCTATGTCATGGCAGATTAGGGGCCTGGCAGCAGCTATGGGAGGGTAGGCCCCTGGACCTAATCTGCCAGCACCCTATGTCAAAAAAAAATTCTACACACCAGCAGTGTGTGAGGAGACCTGAAAGTGGCACATGGCAGAGTGTGGCGATGGAGACAGCAGCAATGGGAGGCCGTACAGGGACCCATGACAGACTCTGGACCTGGCAGCAGCATGAGGAGGAGGCGGTATATAGGGGCCTATGGCAGATTAGGGGCCTGGCAGCAGCTATGGGAGGCCCGTAATCTGCCAGCACCCTATGTCAAAAAATTCTACACACCAGCAGTGTGTGAGGAGACCTGAAAGTGGCACATGGCAGAGTGTGGCGATGGAGACAGCAGCAATGGGAGGCCCGTACAGTACAGGGACCCATGACAGAGACTCTGGACCTGGCAGCAGCATGAGGAGGCGGTATATAGGGGGGCCCATATGGCAGATTAGGGGCCTGGCAGCAGCTATGGGAGGCCCATAATCTGCCAGCACCCTATGTCAAAAAAATTCTACACACCAGCAGTGTGTGAGGAGACCTGAAAGTGGCACATGGCAGAGTGTGGCGATGGAGACAGCAGCAATGGGAGGCCGTACAGGGACCCATGAGAGACTCTGGACCTGGCAGCAGCATGAGGAGGGGTATATATAGGGGCCTATGGCAGATTAGGGGCCTGGCAGCAGCTATAGGAGGCCCATAATCTGCCAGCACCCTATGTCAAAAAAATTACACACCAGCAGTGTGTGAGGAGACCTCAAAGTGGCACATGTTTGAGGCATGATTCATGGCGGATTTAGTCAGTTGTGTCAGGAACTGGTGGTTTGAAATCCAGACTAATCCACGCCTGATTCATTTTCACAAACGTGAGTCTCTCCACACTTTGGGTGGACAGTCGTGTCCTCCGCGGAGTTACACAATACCTCCTGCCGCACTAAACACGCGCTCCGATGCCACGCTACTGGCCGGGCATGACACAGCCTTTCAAGGGCAAATTCAGCTAGTTGGGGCCAAAGGTCAAGTTTCGTTGCCCAGTAGTCAAGGGGGATTGTCTACCTCGGTTGGCAGGGTGCTGTCCAAGTAGGCCCAAGCCTGTTGTTTGAGGTCCTGCTCCAGGTCCACCTGATGCTGCTGCTGCTGCTGCTGCGGCGGCTGGTTAGTAGTTTCCTCACTGCGCTGGTGAAGAAGAAAGCTACTCATCATCGACTGCAGACTGAGGCAGCTGCTGCTGGTGGAGCTGCCACTGCTCCTACCACCCCCCCCCTCCCCTGCTGCCATGGCAGCGGAACGCGAGCGCACAGGGCCCACAGTGTCTGAGGATGGACGTTGGCGCACAAAGGCAGAGACCAACTGACTACATAGGTGGTTTTTTTATAGTACGTTATTTTGGCCTCCCTCTCAGCAGGTGTGAAAAAAAGGCCACCATTTTGGAACGGTAGCGAGGGTCCAACAAGGTGGACAGCCAAAAGTCATCCCTCCCTCTGTCTGATGGTTATTATTCGGCTGTCGCTACGCAAGCAACCGAGCATGCTATGGGCCATTTGTGCCAAGGAATGCGAGGGACTCCCTGCCTCCATCTCCACAGCATACTGCCACGGTGCGTCTGGGTCCTCTGTCTCCTCCTCCTCCTCCTCTACCAGATGCTCCTGCTCCTCCACTCCTGTCCGCTGAGTGGAAAAAACCACCCATTTCACTCAATAATTCCTGAGCACAAATGTCCTCCTCTACCTCCTCCTCTTCTTCCTGTCCTGCCCCCACAGGGGTCATGTGGCGTTGAGATCTGTGCGCCACGTCTACCGCACCCTGACCAGCCATTGTTAACAGCATTTGTTCAAGGACGTGCAACAGAGGAATGACGTCGTTCATCCCATAGTCCTGCCGACTCACGAATAGCGTGGCCTCCTCAAAGGGCCTGAGCAAGCGGCAGGTGTCACGCATGAGCTGCCAATGGCTGACATCTAAGTTACACAGGGGAGTACCTTTATCCGCTTGTAACATCAGGAAATCGGTGATGGCCTTTCGCTGCTGTTCGTAAAGGCGTAAAGGGGGTCTAACATGTGTAGGGTTGAATTCCACCTTGTTGCAACGTCGCAGATCAGGCGATGCTGTGGAATTCCGTTCTGCCGCTGCAGCTCAAGGAGGGTGTGCTTTGCGGTGTAGGAATGGCTGAAATGCATGCAAAGTTTACGTGACATTTTAAGGATGTCTTGCAGTGGGATGGTGGATTTTAAGAACCGCTTGACAACCAGATTGAACACGTGAGCCATGCATGGCGCATGGCACAACCTTCCTTGACGCAGAGCAGACA